TATGTTTATCATATAAAGTCTAATGTTACAACTAATTGGGGATCCCTTTAAAAATATGTACAAGGAAAAAGTTTAATGAGGTGGCCAGTCACCATTTAGCTTACTGTATTTTAATTTACTACATTTAGAAATTAAAAGCACAATGACTGCTTTTACTGGCTGCCTGCTCTGGCCATCATCTAACTCAGGAGCATAGAGCTGCCAGCTGCAGCTGGTGCAGCTTCTTTCCTTAATACCGTTTGTTTTCTCCACAGATTGTCATCATTGAACACAAATCTATCATCTGTCCAGGTTACAATGCAGTTCTTCACATTCACACATGCATTGAAGAAGTGCAAATTACAGTGAGTTATTTTTATTGTTGCGTTTAAAAACCTTAAAATCTGTCTTGGAAAGTAGTCTGTTGAAGAAAGCAGTAATTGATCTGCCTCTTCACCCCTACAGGCCTTAATCTGTCTGGTAGACAAGAAGAGCGGAGAGAAAAGCAAGACGCGGCCTCGATTYGTCAAACAGGACCAGGTCTGCATTGCCCGCTTGCGCACAGCAGGAACCATTTGCCTCGAGACCTTTAAAGATTTTCCTCAGATGGGGCGGTTTACCTTACGAGATGAAGGTAAGGCATATGGTGGAGAAAGTAGAGGCTCCAAAGTTTAAAGGGGGTAACTTTTAGTTTTCTAGCAGTTTAGGGTGATAGCACCCCTGAGCAAGGCCTTTAACCCCCTCAGTTGCTCCCCGGGTGCCTCAAAAATGGTAGCCCACTGCTCCACATGTGCTGTGTGATGGGAAGAATGCAGAGATTTGATTCCCCCCTCTGAGGGTTAATGAAGCTATAAACTTTAAAAATAAAAAAAATAAAAGAAAACGTGTCTTTGAGCAGCCATGTAGTTGAGCAGCAGCAACTGACAGAATCAGAAAAAGCTCATGTCATTAAAGAGCCTGTGACGTGCAAATACAAAAAGTCAAAGAAATCATTATTATATTCAAGAAACTTGGCATAATACACATGATTTTACCCATTTTGTCACATAACCATCATACTTTCTTTTGGATTTAGCTCAGCCAAAATGAAACAGGAAGTGACATCAAAGGGGAACTTTAAGAAAGAAAACCCTTTGTTTATTGAAACATTGTTTGAACTCTGACTCTTCATCTCTCTGATAGTGACTCAAAACGATCTAAAGAAACATCAGATTCTTCTCTACAGTCTGTTATCAAACATTTTATCAATGCTCTGCTCACATGCAGACATTCCCCTTTGACATCACTTCCTGTTGCTTTACATGCAAATATCTCAACCACTGTTCAGCTCAGCAGTGTGAAATTTGTTTTGCTTTATGTTATCAGTGTTGTCTTTCCAAAAATGAATTCAAATTTATGACAAAATGTTGGTGTCACAGGCACTTTAAAGTTCAAGATGCTCCCAGTTCCAGAAGTTTTAGTATTCAATCAGTTTGTCTCATAGCATCTCTTCACTGATGGGCACAACTAACCATAAACTAAAATATTTGCTTTTCAATTACTAAACCACTAAAAAGGTACAAAAGAAAACTGTGGACTAATGCTAACTGATAACAGCTAACTCAAGGTTTGTCATGTAGATGTGTGGTATCCTCAACTGTCAGAATCTGGGTTAAAAACACACATCATTTCTACAGCCACCAAACGGTGGAATCTGAAGTATTAATTCATTGTTGTGACATTAAATGGAATGTGGGAATGGTGCGATTGCGTTGTTGGTGTGCACTCTGGCGCCATGTTCAGTGTGTCAAGTATCAACTTAGCTCAACGTTTCCAGTTGGATCTGTGCAGGTATAATAATCAGCTGTAGTCAGGTTACTTTAACATAAGCCTGCTTAGAACAGCTGAACTGTAAGTTGGGGCTTGGTAATGTGCTGAATTGTATTTAAAAATATCAGATAACATTGACAAATGAAGAATTTGCTAATAGTTTTGTGTTCATGTACCAGGTAAGACCATCGCCATCGGGAAGGTTCTGAAGCTGGTTGCTGAGCGGGACTGAAGACGACCAAACTGTACGAGTTTTGGTGGGAAGGAACGGGATGAGATCGGTCATAAACCGCGCCCCATGGTCATCAGCGGCAATGGCGCCTACCTGCCACGCCCCCTTCTTAGTGTTGAAGATGATCAGTTTGTGAAAAAGTAACTTGTTTTTAAAGAAAAGAACGATGGTGTCCACAGGAGTCAGCCTTCTCATATTGAGAGCTCTGTTATGCCATTCTGGGTTAACCCTCGCTCCACCCCCACCTCACCTCCCATTCCAGCTGTGCTCCACTCATAAGATGATTTTTTTCTTTTCTTTTTTTTTTTAAAGATTTTATTATTTTTTTCTTGCTGTCATAAATGACACTGACAACAAAGAAGTTATATCTGTAATCACATGTGGACCAGAAGTAAAGAATTGATTTTCAGATCGAAGTGAAATTATTTGAAAGAACTCAGCTGTTTGAAACCAGACGTTTAACTTGGTTGTACATGTTTCCCTTTGCTTTTACCAGTTCTTGGTTTCTCATGTGGCGTTCAGGCAGCCTGCCTGAGCGTGGTCAAATAATATGAAAGCAAACAACTATGACAATAAAATTATAAATTGGGAAAGCAAAGTGTGTTCATTGTCAGAGCCAGCCTTTTATCTTCTCCACTGTTGACAGGTAAATCTGCTGGGGTCACCTGGAAATGCAGCTTTTAGTTGTCCAGTTACAATTTTATGGCTAAAAATTGTTGACACTAGGTTTTCGTAAAAGTCCTAATTTTGTAAAAAATATTTTAAAAATGTACAGAWGCAGATAAATTTGTTGGTACTCTTACATAAGTGATGGACTTGCGACCTGTCCAGGGTGAACCCCGCCCCTCGCACTGTGACTGCTGGATATGGGCACCAGTGACCCTGAAAGGAAGAAGTGGGTATAGATATGGATGGATAATATATAGCTGCATGCTATTTCAAAAAACAGTTAAAAATAACAAACAACTGGACTTTCAATTCTAAAGTTGAAGACGTTTCTCTTCCCATCCAAGAGGCTTTTTCAATTCAAAGTCTGTAGTGAGCTGAGGCTTTAATAGATCCACCTGAGAAGCCCTGTGAGGACKTGTATTCACATGTAAATCACACTGGAGCCAGTCATCCTTCACAATGGAGGCTTTGTGTAACTCCCCAAAGAGGTGTTGCATGCTGTTAGTATGTAATGAAGTAAACAAAAAAATTCCCTTTACAAAAATATGCTTCTACTTACTCACTCATCCTCAGTTCATGCAGATCACTCACCTTCTTACCATTGTCAGTAAAGTTCACAGACTAGGAAATTGCTCTGATGTAATGGTGCAACTATAATGGAAAAAAATAAAAAAGTGAAATAAGGAAATAGTAGTGATATTGACAGTATACAATATGTGCAAAGTGGCACCTGTGTGTATTGGCTGTGTTATGCCAGAGTCATTTAACTATTGTTCATAAGTCTAATGGCTATTGGAAAAAAGTTCTTGTGGCATGAAGTTTCAATCCTGGTAGTCTTCTGCCTGAGGGGAGGAGCTTAAACTCACTGGTTGGAGATTACAACCTATAAAAAAGTGTTTGCCCTTTTCTGATTTCTTATTTTTTTACGATTGTCACACTTGAATGTTTCAAATCACCAAACAAATTTAAACATTAGACAAAGATAGCACAAGTGAACACAAAATTCAGTTCATAAATGAAGGTATTTAATATTAAGGGAAAAATAAATCCAAACAAACAGGCCCTGTGTGAAAAAGTGAATGTCCCTGTGGTTTATCACATCTTTGGTAAACTGGGTTTTAATTTCCCTAGCCACACCTGAATGCTGCCACACCTGTTCTTAATCAAGAAACCAGTTAAATGGGACCCAAAGATCTTGAAAATCTAGACATCTTGCTGAAATTCAAAGAAACTCATGAACAAATGACAAAGTAACAGATTTATCAGTCTGAAAAAGGTTATAAATCCATTCCTAAAGCTTTGGGACTTCAGTGGACCCCGGTGAGAAGAACCATTGTCCATGAATAGTGAAAGCATGGAACAGTAATGAACCTTCCCAGGAGCGGCCGGCCGACCAAAATTACCCCATGAGCACAGTGACAGTACATCCAAGAGGTCAGAAAAACCACAACATCCAAAGAACTGCAGACCTCACTTGCCTCAGTTAAGGTCAGTGTTCATGTCTCCACCATCAGAAAGAGCTTGGGCAAAAAGGGACTGCATGGCACAGTTCCAATACGAAAACCACAACTGAGCAAAAAACAAAGGCTTGTCTCGTTCTGCCAGAAAACATCTTGATCACCAAGACTTTTGGAAGAATTTTCTGTGGACTGATGAGATGAAGTTGGACCTTTTGGAAGTTGTAAGTCACATTTCATCTTGTGTAGAAATAACACAGCTTTTCAGAAAAGGAACATTATACCAACAGTAAAATATAGTGGTGGTAGTTTGATGGTTTTGCAGCTTCAGGACTTGTGTTAAATGGAACCATGAATTCTGCTGCCTACCAAAAACTCCTGAAAGTCTGCCCATCTGTTTGTGACTTCAAGCTGAAGCACACTTACTGCAGCAGGACAACGATCCAAAACACAGCAGCAGGTCCACCTCTGAATGGCTTATTTAAGACTTTGGACTGGCCTAGTCAACGTCCTGACCTAAATCTGACTGAGATGCTGACCTTAAAAAGGTGGTTTGTGCTCAGAAACCCTCCAGTGTAGCTGAATTACAACAATTCTGCAAAGATAAGTGGGCCAGGGTTCCTCCTCAGCGCTGTAAAAGACTCATATTGTCAGTTATCTCAAACACTTGCTAAGGGTGGCCCAACCAGTTATTAGGTATAGGAGGCATTTGCTTTTTAACACAGGGTCCTGTATGTTTGCTGTACGTTTTACTCCCCCGCCCCCACTCCATAATAAAGACATTAATTTATGAGCTGCGCTTTGTGTTTATTAGTTTCATATTTAAATTTGATCTGAAACATTTAAGTGCAAATTAACACATTAATTTGTTATCCATAAAGGCTATTTACTTCCAAAACCTACACATTCATTGATTTATGCTTAATAACTCATGAATTGAATATGTATTTCAGGTATTAATGAATAGAGCAGGGGTGCACAAACTTTTTCCCTAAGAGGGCCAAAATGAAAATGTATCAGAGGGCTGTGGGACAAATGCAATAATTCACTTAAAAATATAAACGCCTCATGTCAAATACAAGAGTTTTATGAACATGTGTGTTACGCAACGTATAGAGAAACTCAAAACATATTCTCAGTAACTACTGATCTTCATATCGGCATTGATAACATCGTGGTATGGCCATTTGTAGTGGATTGACAGTCCTTTGGACATGATGGGGTCAGGTTGAGGAATTTGATTTTTCAGTGTCTTGTGTGTCAGCCAGCTGTGCCTCTCAGAGCAACACATCTTCTTCACATGGAGTTGATCAGATTGTCTATGGTGACCTGTGGGATGTTATTCCATTCCTCCTGGAGTGCCACGCAGAGCTGACCCACATTGCCTGGAACTGGAACGCGGTACCGGACACGCCTATCCAGAACATCCCGAAGATGCTCTGTTGGGGACATGTCTGGTGAATATGCAGGCCAGTCCAGAACTTCACTGTCCTCTGTTTGAARCAATTCCTTGCAGCTACATCCCTGCATCCAACATGCCTACGGCACGCTCCCACATAACTTGCGACATCTGAGGCATTATGACATGTGACAAAATTGACATTTTAAGGTGGTCTTTTATTGACCCCAGTCTAAGGATTGTCCAGCTGTTGCTCATTTTATCTGATCACCCACTGGACATGCCCCACCCATGCACTGAGTAAAAAAACTACTCACTGAGTAATGCTCACTGACAGCAAGTTTTTTTTAATTATACACAAATCAAGAGAAATAATACCTTTGTACAATAAAATGTCATCAAATGCTCATTTACTGTTGTTAACTCACCATGGCAACAATAGTTGACATGGGGCGTTTATATTTTTGTTAAGTGTGTAATGCATGAAGTACAAATACTTTTTTAAGTAAAGTGCTTTTATTATTATGAATAAGCAAGCAGCYGGTGTGCTGGTCTATTCTTTTTAGTTTTTTGAGCCTTTGAACTTGGAGAAAGTTTGACAATCATTTAGGCAGCAAAGATTCATGAGATGTTTCATAAATTGATAAAATATAAATATTTGTGGTCTTATTTTTCAATTAACTATGAGTTTGGTCTGATTTTTAACTGAAAAGGAACTTGTGGCTCTTCAGGGATTTTTCTACATTAATGAATAATTTAATAGTCTGCACTTTAGAAAGGTTCAYAAAAAACTTTCCTGCCTTATTTAATGAAGCAGGATTAGATAGTCAATTCAGATGTTCTCTAACCATTAATACATCTAACACTAAAGTACATTTACATACACACAGTATATACTGTATATAGAATAGTTATTCATAAGTTATTAAGCATGAATAAAAAATGAGTTTTTAATTTTCTGTTTGGAGTTAGGATCTTAAATTAAATTAACTCCAAAAATTAATTAGTTGAAGATTTACATCTAATTTATGCTTTTGAAGAATTTTTTAAAAAATATATCCAGTGGGTCATTAAAGTGCCCAGCTGCTTTGGGGAGTTTTATTTTACTCTTTTACTTTCTTTTTTATCTTTTTTTTTTCTTTGAATTTGCACTCACTAACTGTGATGGTTTCTATGGCACCATGTATTCCAGGACCCGCGAGGCTGGTGGACTCAGGTGATCCAGGTGATCCAGCTCCGCCCCCTCAGAGCCGTACGCCCCTCCCGCAGGTTGACCCGGGACGGAGCGTCTCACCTGGCTCACCTTCCAGCCCTCGCTCTGTCCTGCTCGGAGCCGAGGCATGGAGCCGGAGTTCCGGGGCCTGGGCCGCTGCGCGTGCAGCTTCTGGCTCGCGGTGGCCTTTGACATGGTGGGGCTGGTCGTGCTCCTCGTCGGCGTGTTCGTCAACGTCTTCTTCTACGACCTGCTCATCTACGCGGGCTCCATCGTCATCTTCCTCAGCCTCATCTGGTGGGTGTTCTGGTACTCCGGGAACATCGAGGTGCCCCCGGCCGAGCTGGAGGACGATGTGGGGCTGCTGAAGAAGAACAAGGCCGGGCTGAGGGGACTCGGCGGGGCGGTGCGGCGCCTGTCCAGCCGCGTGTCGAACGGCATCAGGAACTCCTTCCGCAGGAACGGAGGCCCCCCCGGAGCCCGCAGCAGCCGGCCGGCGGCTGGGCTCCCGGGAGGGGCTGTGCAGGCTGGGCATTTGTCGGTTGCCATGGCGCCGATCAGCCCCCAGGCTGCTGCCCCTCCAGAGGCAGAGGCAGGCGGTGAAGCGCAAATGCCGCACACAGCAATGGAGACTTCAGCTACGTAACAGGTGGACAGGTGAGGCCCGAGTCACCGCTCACACACACACACACACACACACACACACACACACACACACACACACACACACACACACACAC